CCCCCCCCCCCCCCCCTGCGTCCCCCTCCCCCTCCCCGCTGGGCTGCCTATTTCCTGCAGGCACTTTGAACCTTCCGTGCTCTCTTGGGTTGGAGAAGGCAAACTGAGTGACCGGTGCTCCCCCAACCTCATGGGGGGGGGGCTGCCGAAGCCTGAAGGACGGGGGGGGAGGGGGGCGCCCCCTTCAGCCGTGTGCCTTGAGTGCTGCTGGGCTGAGCCAGGAAGCTCCTCTGCCAAGACAAGCTGCCCATTATACCAAAGGAACCGAGGGGCAGACGTGGCACCATTTCTGGGGCACTGAAACAGCGTGACTTCTGGAATTTTCTCTCTGCTCTGAAGCACACCTCCTTTCCAATGGCCTTAATGCTCGCCCGCCGCTCCTCAGCACCAACGCAGCTGGCCCAACTTCAGCCAGGCCCAGGGACCCTCCCTGGACCCGATGCCCACCTGGGTCACAGTCTGCATTGCCAACTCAAGCCGTCATTTACTTCAACCTTTAAGAAAACACCGCACAATCTGATCCCGGAGCTCAGCGTTGGGAGGTGGCGACTGCCCTGGGGCCATCAGCAAGGGGCCTGGCTGGTGGACAGCGCTGCTCTGCCGCCCCTCCCAACCTTCCCCCCCCCCCCCGCAACTGTCAGGCCAGTCCTTGTTCATTCAGATGGTCCACGGTCCCTCCTTCAGCATAACAGCCCAGGAGAAGGCACCCCGAGTGAAGCAGCAGAGCCAGGCTGGCTTCCTTCTCGATGCCACGAGGGACCGGCGGCCATCCAAAGCTGCCAGACAAGAGACGTCCCCGGTGTGGGCAGCCAAGGTGCCTGCAAGGCTTGCTGTCCAGGGCCAAGAAAGGGGAGAGGCCCAGGGTTACTTGGGCTTGGCGGGACCCACCTGGCTCACAGCTCCTGAGGCCACCTGTGTTATATCCAACATGGAGACAAAATCCCAGGAAGTCTGCTCAGTGTGAGTGTGTGTGTGTGAGTGTGTGTGTGTGTTTTTTCCAAACTATAAAAATAAAATCCTCCCTGGCTGCTAGCAAGAGTGGCCTTCAGCTCTCCATCTCCATTAGGACTACCCAGAGGGACTGAAGTGAACTTTTTCAATGCTAACGCCACAAGGGGGGGTGGACTCCTGACAGGCATCCGGGCAGGGATCCCCCTGGCACAAAAGGGCCAAGCTGCTCCTTTTGTGAGGGGCAACAGGAGATCCCGAGCCCCCATTCCCTGCTTGCTCTCCGGCCTCTGGGCACAGCTGCTGGAGAGAGGCTGATCTGCGGAGGGACAGCCAAGGTCTGATCAGCAGCCCTCTAAGCCCCATGGCCCAGAAGGGCATCCTGTGAGGGTCCCAGTGTGGAGCCCCCCCCCCTCGAGAAGCAGCACAACACGCCCCTCCCCCTCTGGGTTGGCCTTGCAGGCTCTGCTGAATCCTGGCCATATCCTGTGCTGGGGCTGGGCACCCGTCTTCTCGACATTCCAGGCTGCATGTTGGGGTCAAGCCCAGAGGTTCTCCGTTGTTGGCTTTTCCTCAACCAGGCAGCGTTGGCGTCCTGTGGGGCAATGCAGCGAGCCCCTTACAAGATGATACGGCTACCCACTCCCGATTGCGTACAGCTGCGCCATGGAAGACAGATTTGATGTTGGTCTGATGGTAGAGCGCCAAGGAAGCCAGCCCAAGCACACAAGGGGTGCCTATTTGCACCCTAAACACCGAGGAGCACTTTCTTGTGTCCCAGCATCACGGAAACACTGGCTAACCTCCCAGGAGAACGCAAGACCTTCACAACTCCTGCTTCCTGCAAAGCAAGGCCCGCCTGGGATCTCCACAATACTCCACCCAACGAGTCTGGGGTCCTCAGAACTTGGAACCTCCGTCTTTGTTGTGTTCCTTCTGCATCCCTATTTTAACCCTCCCCTCCCACCTTTGGATTAAATTCTGTCTGTACTTGTACAGCGCCCCTCTGCTACCTCCAATGTTCTGGTGATTAAAGTTGTTGCAAATGGCCTCTGTAGGGTTTTTGCTCCTCCCAATTCTTTTCAGGCAGTGGGTCAGGGCGTACACCAAGAAAGCCATAGCAGGGAAGCAATTTCTGCTACTGATCAATGCGACCTCTGCTAGTTTCTAAGTAGGCAGAGCCACGCAAGTCAGGAAAATGATCCTGGTTTAAGGCAGCTGCTTTTATTCCAAGCTCGGACCCACCCAGGCGTTGCAGGCAGAAAGCTTCAGGGCTGGGGAATCCCTGCATTTTCCAGGCAGGCCTGGTGGGAAAACGTGGGGGTGGGAAGCTTAAAGCTTGTCAGTCCGGATAGATCAGGATCAGTTCAAGGCATGTTGAAAAGAGAACTCCCAGAGACTGGAAGGCAGAGGCAGACCTTGCCTTCTGCAGCAGGGAGGTGGCGGTGGGGGTAAGGTGGCAGCAGCACAGAAAAGGCAGGGGACGAGCTGCCCCGTTTGGGCCCAAGGTACCACGTCTGCATCGGACCGGCCGAGGGGAGCCCCGCGGGGTATCTGGAGCCTGAATAGGAACGGCCAGCTATACAGTGGGGGAATCTTCCGGCCGAGGGCAGAATTCGGTGGCTACTGCTGGAGTTTGGCCAGAGCAAAACCGAGGCCGCCTGGAAAGGACGCAGAGAAGCCGCAAGAAGGAAGCCAGCCGGGTGGCTGTTGCGGCCTCGGGCCCAGAGTCCTTGCGACGAGCCCGTAAACGAGCCACCCGCCGCTCCACGACGTCCAGCTGCCGGGCGGGGGGGGGGGGGGGGGGGTGGCCCGCCCCCCCCACCCGGGGCCGCACCGGGGGCGGTCCCTCCCCGGGGGGGGGGGTCTCGATGGGGGACCCTCGCCCGGCTTCTCGCTCCTCATCCCACCGACCGACCCGCTCCGGCCTCCAAAGGGTCCCCGCGGCACCCCCCGCCATTCTGCCCGGCACGGCCAGCTGAGAGCATCCGCCGCCCTCCCGGCTGCGGCCGGTCCTCCTGCGGGGCAACCGCCGGGACGGCAGCTCGTCCGCCGGCGAAGCCGTGATATGCGGCCCGCGAGGGGAGGAACCGCGCAGGCGTCGGAGCGGCCCCTCCCCTGCCAAGGTTAGCCGCCTCCGTGTCACTGGAAAAGCAGCCCGGCGGGGCAGGCGGGCTCGTGGCCTTCGGTTCCCTCACTAAATTTCCTCCCGCACTGGAGCTGCTCCAACCTGGCGCCCTTCGGGAGCGTTAGCTTTTATTTATTTATTTATTTAATTAAAAAAAATAAACTATTCAATTTTCCAAGTTTAAAAATGCTCCCCCACTTTGCTCCCCTTTCCCTGAATTCTCCGAGCTGCTGAGAGGATGAAAGAGGATCATAGGCTTCGTTATTTTCCAGGGGCCGTTTTACTTGGGGGTGAGAGTGCAAAATCAAGACAAGCTTGTTCCTCCACCTTTCTTCTTTTTGAGTGGAATATACGTCTTGTCTCCAAGATACGTTCTTTTTTTTTTTTCCAGGAGACATCATGGACCAAGTGTCTACAAATTCCCTCTTTCTTCTGAACCTCCCAAAGTGTCTCCAGGAATGTCTTCAAAACCTGGACGGCTAAATGCGGCCCTCAGTCAGGATGACTTCCTATAACCTGTCAATGTCAGAACCCCAAACGATCCAAATTATGCAAGGGAAGAGGTGCTTCACACCATGACAGCCACCAGCCGTGTCTTTGTTGAAGTGAGAAGGCACTCAACCAAGGCTGCATACAGACCAGGAGACTTCAATGGAAGATGCTGCCATCCTCCCTTCTGACTGTCAGCTTGGTAACTACATGACACAAGAGTTGGGACTGTACCCAAAACTGGATTTTTTTCCCAGTTAACTACTTTTAGAGGATGAAATATAAAAATATTTTTGGAGAGCAGAGAAACAATATCAAAAACTGTCTTCAACCATATCAGACTTCGATATTTATGCTTAGCTTTATTTAAAGTGATTTTAGTGCTTGTGATAAATTACTGTGGTATAAAGAGTCCCATGGTCTCTTTTCATGGCTGGCAGAGACTATAATATAATTCATCCAGTCCTGGCAATTGTCATTATCTTGGCTAAGGGGATAGGAAAAGAAGACCAAGGCTCTTTCTCTCCATCTCCAAGACAAATGCCTCCAGGTCAAAGGAACAACTTTTCAAATGCCGCCATTTCTACAGCCTGCCCAGCTGCAGCCATTGTCTTTGCTGAACTATCATAGTCTGTAAGGAAGCCAGAATAGCTGGGCTCTGTGCCAGCCAAGCAGGGTTGATATTACCCAGTAACTGAGGAGAGGTGGCCACCATTTTCCATCAACTCCTCTGGCAGCCACTTCTCCAGCTCCGCCAGTTGCAGACAGGATTACACTCCCTCAGGGAGAGCCTCAGACTCAGAAACTCAAGGAGAACCTCAACAACCGTCCATAGGTGGAGGGGCAGCATCCTTCTCCAGCTTGGGGCATGGTATTCCCATCTCACCCTCCTCTGGCAGGCTTCTTTCCTCACCAGTCTGAGCTGCTTCCCTTCAAGAAGGACAAGGAAATCACAGGCAAGCTGGGAACTCCATGGCTTTGCTATGGTCCCCTCCATTTCAGAGAAGCCACACTTAGGCCTGCAGCTCCATATTGTGCTCCCTGAGCAAGGACTCTTTTCTGAGACTGAGTCGAGCGCATTTGGGGCATGTGGTGGAGTTGTCGTAGAAGCAGTCCCTGGGAGAGGAAAGACAAAGGGCCTGTGAGCT